TTTTTRWCTTGTTKTTTCATTCTAATTTTTGTCGAGCCAGATTGAGGTGTGATTTCTGTGACTTATTTGCTTCTAAAAACGCACTCGATAGCTAAATAAACACAAATTAATTAAGAGATGGATTTTTGGAAAATTGACAACTAGCAAAATGTTTTACAAACTGGCATATGTTAGATCCGGAGATAGCAGTATTCCCAATAACACCAGCCTTTCACACTTTAAAGCCRATAAGGCTTATCATCCAACGTTTGGGCTACGTTCACACGTAACCGGAATCAACGGAAAAGCATTTTCAAAAAGATCCGGGAGAACATCATCGTTTTTGAAGGTTTCGCGGATGCACGTGACCGAAAGAAGCCATGGGGCTTATGGGAAATGATAACTGATTTATACTGTAAGATAGTTTGTGTTATTATAATTTTTTATCATCAATCTCACATGTCAAATTTTGTCCATGCCCTGACTTGTCTCCAGGACCTTGCAATTACTACCTTGTTGGTAGGTGAGATCATAAGTACATTCTGGTGCGATCCATTAGAATTTTGAGGGGGTGGGGGTGGAAAAGTGAAAGATTTAGGGAAAACAATTCCTGAACGGCCCGAAGGCGGAAAAAATTGAGTTGCAAGGCAAAATTTTGTCAGATCTCTACACTAAATTTTTTACAAAAATTTACAAAAAAAATTACAGCTAACATCGGAGTTAACGAAATTTCATTGAGTGTCGCATTTCGCGACGATGTATTCTATGCCTGGCTAAATGTGCATGGTAAAATCGCGAAGTTTGCAGCGTATTCATATTATTTGACTCTAAACAAAATTATAGTATTTTAAAATTGATATATTATCTAATTACTTCAAAATTTGAGAATATATACAATGTCCTTACGTTTTTTTCAAGCTACCTGTTTCGCGAATTCCAATCTGTAATTGCGAAACTATGAACACATAAAAGAACACTGTCTTCCCCTTGAAACGTCATTAAAACGTTCATGACCTTGATGAATACTTCCACGAACAAATGAACGTGACCTTGACGTCTAAAAAGTCATTTTTGTCATTTTTGTGACGAAAGGCATTGTGGGGCCTCTCGTTACCATGTCATGATGTTGAGTGACCGAGCCSTAACCATCCACTTGTAGCAGGCGTTCCTTGCGAGTCCTTTAAGCTGAAAAGAGAAAATCACTAGAAAAAAGA